TACGAATATAGCTAAATAGTAATTAGTAAATCACTTATAAATAGGACACTCGCACAATTGGCGTAGCAAAGTTCGAAATTAGTCGTCACTAGGACGTGACAACCTCTAGTACTTATTTAATTATTAAAAATAAAAATAAAAATGTCAGAAAAAATTTATTTTTTAAATTTATTTTCATCCCCGTCTATATTTAACTCAGCCSTSTTTCAGTTACAAGCTTCTAACTTTAAACAGTCATCAAAAAAGTCTCAGTGATDAAACTTTATAAAAAGTATCAGGTAAGAGAGTAATCATAGTTTTTTTAATATATCTCGAAAAGTAAGGGAGATAAAATATTTTAGTACTGGAYCTTTTTTGTAGCAAATAAAATTGTCTACAAAACATAATTAATAAAAAATCGCACTAAGGCAACTATAAACGGCACAACATTTTCCCATTTTTTAATAAAAATAATTCTAAAAAAATAAATTAATATTTTATATTTAATTTAATGTATTTTTACATTCACGAGCCAAGTTAACCAGTCCGTATTTACGTGTAATAATAATAACAGTATCGGTACGTTATGAATAGTTGCGCAGCCAGTGGCAAAAAAAAGAACTATGATTTGGGTTTATTATTGTGTACATAAATAATGTGAAAAATCCTATACCGTTCGGACTCCTGGTATCTATCCTCCGTGAATTGTTTATTCATAAAATTCATTTATTAACAAATATATTTAAAGATTTATGAATACATAACAATTATTTTGTTATAACATGCGTAAAATGAATGTACCCATGTTATTACGATCACATTGTACAAAATCTATGTACAAAAGTTCTAATGTAATTCGTAAAGAATTTGTAGATTATTATACCAAAGAATTACAACACGATGTTATTCATTCAAGTCCAGTTTCTTTACTAAATGATCATTCAACAGCTTTTGTTAATGCTGGCATGAATCAAGTATATCCATTTTTATATATATATATATATATTTTGAAACTATATGTATTAATTTGTTAATTATCATTTAATATTAAATCTCTATAGTTTAAAGGAATTTTCTTAGGATATTATGATCCACCTTCAACAAGAGTTGTCAATTCACAAAAATGTATTAGAGTTGGTGGAAAACACAGCGATTTAGATATTGTTGGTAATGATACGTACCATCATACATTCTTTGAAATGTTAGGAAATTGGTCTTTTGGAGATTACTTTAAGGTACATTTAATTATTCTAAATTACTTAATGTAAACAACTTAAAGCCTTATAAAATATGTATATATACATAATTTGTTTAAACTTTTTACAGGAAGAAAGTTGTCGTTACGCATTGGATTTATTAACAGGTCCATATAATATTAAAAAAGAATTTCTGTATATTACCTACTTTGGTGGTTGTAAAGAATTAGGATTACAACCCGATACACAATGTAAAGATATTTGGTTGAGCCTTGGTATTCCAGAAAACAGAATATTACCATTTGGAATGAAAGACAATTTTTGGGAGATGGGACTATCAGGCCCCTGTGGGCCTTGCACAGAGATACATGTAGATATTACAAAGCAATTGGAAAATCAAAGTTTTAAAGTGAATACTGGTCATCCAGATATTATCGAATTATGGAATATAGTTTTTATTCAATTTAATAGGTACATATATTATGTACGCTTCTATAAACTAATTTCTATTGTGTCTTTTTACTTTTTATATAATTTACTATAGACTTACAGATAATCGTGTTATTCAACCATTATCAAAACATCATATCGACACAGGAATGGGATTTGAAAGATTAGTTACTTTACTACAAGGAAAAAAATCGAGTTATGATACAGATCTTTTTCAACCATTATTTGAGACAATACGTTGCAACACGAATGCACCTGAATATAAAGGCACTTTTGGAGCTTATGATACTAATGGTATAGATTATGCTTACAGAGTATTAGCTGATCATGCACGAATGATCACAGTTGCATTATGCGATGGTGTAATACCAGAAAAAAAGTACGAATTATCTTTTATAATATAAATTCAATGTAATTTGATTTATTTTATCTTGTAAATTAATATGTTTAGTCAGAAATTGAGAAGAATATTAAGGAAGAGCATAGATATGAGTGAAAATGTATTTAAAAAAAAGAGTTTACTTTATGAACTTACATACACTGTTGCTGATATTCTTGGAGATGCTTACCCAGAATTACAAAACAATCTTAAACAGGCCCATAAGATAATAGAATTTGAAGAAAATTTGTATGAAAGATTATGCAAAACAAGTGGTAAAGAATGGAAAAAAATGGTTGCAATTAGACCAGAGTTAGCTTCTATTACTAATTGGATGGCATCAGGACTTGTCAATGGATACAAAGATTTACAATCTATTTTAAAAAAGGATAAGTAAGCATTATTTATAAATATCAAACAATATAACAATGTATTACATTTTTTATTTGTAGTGATTTTTTATTTTAGAACCATATATGCATCTGGTATCTTACCAGGACATGTCTTATTTAAATTATTTGACACTCATGGATTAAGTATAGAAACAATAAGTGAATTGGCTGCAGTGGAATCTCTCCAAATTGATAAAAAAGGTTTTGAAAAAGAAATGGATAAAGCGAGGCTTAAATCTAAAGTTGGAATAATTAAAAATTATTATAATATTGAAAAATATTTACAGTTACTTACTAAAAATAATATACCAGAAACGGATGATTCATTTAAATATGTTTATAAATATAAAAATGACGATTATGAATTTCCAAAACTTAGAAGTAAAGTTATAGGATTGCTCGTCAATGGTATTAACATTTATATACATAACATTAATTGTAATTTAAATTAATTAGAAATACATCACTAATTATAAATATAACATTTAGGCATTACATATTTCAGGTGAAATTATATTAGGGGAAGAATTAAAAACAACTTTGACGAACAGTAAGAAGAATTCAAATATACTATTAAATGACAAAAATGAAATTGACATAATATTAAACAAAACAATGTTTTACTCATTTGAGGGAGGCCAACAGTCAGACATAGGTTCTATTTATTTAAAAGATATGATATTTCAAATAAGTAAAGTTGAAAAAATTAATAACTATGTTATTCACTCTGGCAAGTTTGTGAAAAATAATCTAGTGTATGTATTTATACTTTTTTTGTTGTTGAATTTATAGAAAATGAATTATCTCTTTTATACGAATAATCTATTAATTATAGAATATATATATTTTATTTTCAATAGAAATACTTATTCAGAATTAGAAGATTGGAATGATTGTGTAATTTGTATAGATACAAATGTCCGAACAAGTCATATGAGGAATCATACAGCAACACATTTATTAAATGCTGCTTTAAGGTTTATATTCCCAGTTGTTTATCAACGAAGTTCATTAATTTCTAAAGACAAATTAAAATTCCAGTTTTCTTCGTTTGGAGATAAAATGACATTAACACATTTAGCAAAAATAGAAGAACTTGTTAACAATGTTATTAAAATCAATGCATTAGTAGAAAGTAGGATTATTAATTTGTCGCAATTATTATCAGAAAATAATGTTACAATGATACCAGGTGAAATATACCCACATACAGGTATTAGATTAATCGATATCTATACAAATGAATTAAAATCCAAGTAAGTTATGATTGGAATAGAATTTCGAATTATTTTCATTGCCACTAATTCACTCGTTAACATAGAATATTAATCTTTTTAGAGAATTATGTTGTGGAACACACGTGAAAAGTACAGGATCTTTGGAACACTTTTGTATTTTAAATTATAGTTCTAAAGGTGCATTGAATTGCACTATTCATGCCACTACTGGGCCATTAGCTAAAACAGCTGAATTAGCTGGTAAAAATTTATTAGAACAAATTGTAAGACTAGAAAATTTAGTTAGTACGAAAAATATTAAAAACGATGAGTTAAACTTACAAATTAAAGAAATAAAAAAAGAATTACAAAAAAGTACTGATACTATAGACCTACCACTATCTTATCTTACAAAAGAAGAATGTAATGCTAAGTTACAAAATTTAGTTGAAATAGCATTGAAACAGAATATAGAAACAGAAAGGTAGATATCAAAGTTATAAATATTCATACTACTTTTTATTTCGTTTAATCTTTCTATTTCTTTTTTAAGGTCTTCTATAGTAGCAGAAGTGAAAAATTCTATGAAACAAAAAAATTCTTTTATTGTTTATCATTTACAGTGTACACCAAAACATCTTTCCTTACAGGATATACTATCTTTTTTTCCTAATATACCAATACTTGTGATATCATATGATAATAATGTCATTAAAGCTAGTTGCAGTGTACCACAGGTAAAAAAATCAATTATATATTGAATTATGTATAAAGTACTTTGGTATTTTATGATAATAAATAATTGTTTAGATTTATTTTCATTTACAATTATATACACATTCGATTAATTTATTCTAGGAATTTCTATCCGATAAATTCAATGCTCAAACATGGATGAAAGTTATTTTTCAAGTTCTTAATGAAAAATATAATGAAAACAAGGATAAAAATTCTTTAAAAACTAATGCAAAATTTAAAAATATATCTGAGCAACGTGCAAAGAAGTTGATAGAAATTGCAATTATAGCAGCTACTGAATATGTATCTATCTTGATAGATGACAAAAAAGTAATTACAGAAAAAAATTAATAAAAAATCAAAATGGAAACTTTATGTAAGATAAATTTAAATATCAAATGATTTCAAAATTGAAATATAAATTTATTATTAAAATATTAGTATTTCTGTATTTATATTTTGAGAATACTATGTTTTATTAAATTATCTCCTTGCATATTATTTGTAATTTACATTTTACCTTTGTTGTTGATTTTTTACGTGTGTTTCATAAAAAAGTCTTAATGAATGCCATTGGGCTCTGTGAAGTAATATATGTCGCCTTTTACTTTTCATATAATCCACTGCTTCTTCAGGAATCCAACCATGTTTCTGAAGATGAATATTTTATGTTAAGAAACAATTTACATTTGGATAAATTTATATTTTTTATATAATATCATCTAACCATCATTAAATAACATCCAACGAGTGTTGCACTACGTGTTCTGCCTGCTTTGCAATGGACATAAACTGTTCCTGGCTCTTTGCAATTATTATGATTATCATTATTCAATTTTTTATTCGTGCTTTGAAATGAATTTATAAAGTCTACGCCCATTTTTAACTTTTTCTGACAAGGTGCTTCAAAAATATCTGTTGTTGATAGTTGTAGAAATTCGACATTATATTTCTTCCATTCCTAATAACGATATCAAGAAGAAAAGGCAATATTAAAGAAAAATATGTTAAATATGTTAAATCTGTATTAACCGGTTAACCGGAATTGATAGTTTGTACCTTTTCTGAATTAGATAGTAAAAATAATTCATAATCCTCATTCATAGAAACTACCGCTTTCAAGTTTTCTTTTTCAACTAACTGTAAACATTGGAACAAAATATCTGTTTAAGTAAAAAGTAGAAAATAAGTAATAAAATAATAAAAATAGATATACCTGCTTTGACATAGTTCGAAAAGGCAATGCACCCAAAATAACAGTCTCGTCAATTCTATCATACCAATTTCTTGACGTTACTTTCTCCATAAATATATTGTATACTAATGTTGGGTAAAATGTCATTCTCGCGAACATTTTAACTATAAGCAAATTTAAATTTTGTTAAGAATTTTAACAGTTGCACGAGCACTTTAGTTGTATCTTAAAACTGATAAAAATAAATTACAGAATTGTTATGTTTATTATTTTATATATTAAAAATGAATGTTTAAGATAAAAATTATTAATATTTTACTGATAAAATTAATGATTTCTGCATCACACTTAACACGATTGTAGCTCGTAAATGTGCACAAATATTATCAGTAGACTTCGCCCCACTACAAGAAGAGAAAGTAACAGTACTTTAAAACATATAATGGAGAAGAGGACATCTATTACATATAGCCGATTTTGATATTTATTTGTGATAAAGTATTTAAAAAAATTAATATATACTCTAGAAATATGCATCCAGAAGGAAAAAAATAAATAAAAAAAAAAATATATAAATATAAATATTGTTACTTTTCTATTACTGTTTTATATTACGTTGGTTTTGTCTTTTTTTCCATTATATATTCTGTGATAAAAGAAGTAATAGGTAATGTAATATCATTTCCACATTAAAACTGGTTATTATTCTAATTTATATCATTTTTTATAGTATAAGATTAAAACTATCACCAGTAATACACATAGAGTACTGCTATATATAACCACTAGTACATGTATAATAATAAAAAAAACTTGCTTACTTTCAGATTTAAAAATGTTCACTTATAACACTTTTTATTTAATTACAACTAATTAATTCTTATTAAATAAATTTATCCTCATCTAAACAAATAGGACCAAATTCTCCCTTTCTAAACATAGCAATAAAAATTTGAGCAGCAGTTTCCAAATCAGGTTTAACAACGTATTTATTATTACAACGTAGTTTCAATGTTTTTCCTTGCTTAGCAGCTATAAAAGTAAGAATGTAAATGATATCATCACTTGGCTTAGGTAAACCTAATTTTTCAACATACTCATATTTTTGATATTTATTTAAAGAAAAAAGAAGAAAATCAGCAACCGTTATATACCCTACCAAATGATCTTGTAAGCAACCAATCAAAGCTAATTTGAGACCACAATTTACATTATTTACGTGAGGTGCTAAAATGCCTGGAGTGTCCAATAAATAGAAATTTGGATTTTCAGATATTTTTATATGAGTTAGTACAGAACGTGTTACTCCTGCTATAGGTCCTTCTTGTGTAGCTTTTGCTTTTTTTAAATAAGTATTTCTTAAACGATTGATTAAAGAAGATTTTCCTACATTAGGTATACCGATGATCATCATCGCAAAAGATTCTTCATTACTTCTATTATATCGTTCAGAATTTGATATTAATTTTTTTGCCAAAGGTAGTATTTTTTTCATTCCCTTACAAGTACCGTCTTTCAAATTAGTAAAAAGTATATTAGACAATCCTTCGTTCTCTAAATTAGATACTATTTCCTTCTTATATTTTAAGTCGGCCAAATCAATCTTATTCAATACAAATATATGTGGTTTTAAACCAGTTAAAGTACGACGAAAATCTGCTTGACGTCCTGAAATCGGTACTCTAGCATCATGTACTTCTATTATACAATCGACATTCTTCAAACGCTGTTCCATTTGCTTTAAACCTTTATTCATATGTCCAGGAAACCATCGTAATGTTTCTTTATTAACTATTTTAAATGTTTCTCGAAAAGTTGTTGCTACTGTACCTCCTATATCCTTCATTTTTGGTCAACTTCTTAATAATCTTCTGACAGTATTATGAAAAATACCCTGTAATGTAAAATTTGTAAAAAATATTATTCAAGGCATGGTTATTTTTATAATTGAAAACATAAATATTTATTATTTATTATTTATTATATACAAGCCGAGATAGTATCAATATAATATAATAAATGATAAATCATGCATATATTTACATACGTTTTAAGGTTATGTTGTTTAAATTATTACAGAAAAACTTAATAAACACGTGAGACAAAAATGACATAGATTATTGTTAAGTAACTACTTTAAGGAAAAATTTGACTATTTTTTATAAATATCTATACATATATATANTATATATATATATATATATATATATATATATATATATATATATATATATATATGTATATATAGATGACATGCAGATATTTATGAGATATAAATTAAGCGTAATACAAACGAATGTAAAAATGGTATATAAATAAAACTATAAAAATATAATTATTTTAACTAGCATACATTTTAATATATTATTAAACAATGTTTCTCAAAATATTAAATAATTTGTTCACACCTTTACCACCTGTATCATAGCATGTGCCTATATTTCATATTCTATCGGGTATTAAATATACATCTATCAATGTAATAAATATAGTATATATATATTCTTATGAATTAATATTGAATATACAATCGATTTAATATTCAATTATTGAACGTTGTATTATTTTTTTTTTCATATGTCAATATAAACAGTATAGCTACAAACGCCTTATAATTATCACTGTCGATAACCTCTCTTGTGATATTAAAACTATTTTAGATAAAACACTTTTGATGAATTATTTATTCTTGTATTTATTATATCTTCGTATAAAATCAATCAATTAAAATTGGATATTAGAAACTTATGATGTCATAGAAAAAACATGTAATTTATTATAAATACGATAGGGATTATTTTTTTCGCAATTTATAGTACGAATTTGAAATATCAATACGTGGACGCGCGCTTTGATTTTACTGCTACTTGTTGCTAGTTTTATGAAAAAGAGGTGGATTATTCTGACAACAAAGCATTATAAATAAAAATTATTAAAATGTATATGCATATTATCTGAAGAAAAAGTAATTCTTATTTAACGAATAACTTGTTAATGAAATGAAAACACGAAGTGTGAGAGAGTAATAAACATTATTCGGATTAAGGGGAATGATGTTAGTTTTTTTGTCATTGTGTCAGTGATATTAAACAACGTTGAAGCTGCGAATACATATCTAAGATTTAAACGATAATAAATAGGTTTTTTGATGGACAATCAGTGTATCACTTCTTTTATTGTTATTGTATGGAGGTGGTCAGAATATTTTATAAAATTTATATTTTCCAAGGAGTCGGACATAACCTAGCTTTTACTCCGAAATTAAAACGCCGATTTTGATATGGCGTACAAAAGTTTCATTATATTTTTATATTTTATTAGTGCAACGATTTTCTCTAATATTGCATCTCAACAAGTGCAGGAGGTGTGTATGCATATAAATTCACATAACATGATTTATCTATTTGTTTTCAAACAAGTGTGTGTATGCACATATGTATAATATTTGATCAATCCATTGTGTAAACATACAAATTCAAACTTACGGAAATATTTACATTAATTCTTCTTTTTATTATTACTATATAAATTTCTAAATAAAGATTATTATGTAATTTATTTTTTGTATCTAGAATCATAATACAGGACTTGCTTGTGAACAAGATGACCCGCTTATTATTTTTTCTACTCTGGATGGTGCATTAATTGGAGTTGGTCAAAGATCTGGTGAAATACGATGGAAACAGGACGATGGTATTACATAAAAACAAAATATCATGTCAAATATATTCATGTAATTTTCATTCTATTTTATATTATCTGTTTCTTCATTTTTGTTTTAGAACCACTTGTCAAAGTACCTATTAATTGCTCTAAATCTGCAATGTACGTAATTTTGTTTTTAAGTGATTAATTGTCTCATATACTGTAATGACATGTTTGAAACCTTGTAAATGAATATTAATAGGAAATTTTTATTTTAGGCCTATTTTTCTACCAGATCCAAAAGATGGATCATTATATTTATTTGGAACAGATTCCGAAGCTCTTAAAAAGCTACCTTTTACTATTCCACAATTGGTAGCTAACAGTCCTTGTCGTAGCAGCGATGGTATATTATATACTGGTAGAAAAATTGATACATGGTTTACAGTTGATCCTAGAACAGGTAGAAGAGAACAAGTTTTAGGTTTTGATAACGTGGCAAATACATGTCCTGTAGAAATTCAAGATGTTATTTTCATCGGGCGCACGGAATATAATATTATAATGGTGGATAGTAAACAAAAGGATAGACAATGGAATGTAACATTTTATGATTATTCTGCAGCAAAAATGGAGAATAATGAAGATGAAAATTATGGTTAATAATTATTAAGAGATAATAGAAATAAAGATTTGATATATGATTGGAATATTTATAACAATAATAATAATAATATTATTATACATTTTGTAGATTTAGTACATTTTACTACAAGCTCAACAGGCAGAGTTGTAACTTTGGATAAAAGATTAGGCACAATTTTATGGCAATTAAATTTAGAAAGTCCTGTTGTTGCAACTTATACTGTTACTAAGGATGGCCTATTAACTCTACCATTCACTAGTGTTGCAGAAGGAACATTAGATAATTTATTAGAACACTTTGTAACCAAACCAAATTATATTCAATTGTTGTAAGTAATCTTTCTTCAAGTAATAACGCAAAAATATTAATAGATAGTACTAAAGATCTGGGACTGCAAATAATCGCGGAAAAAACCAAATATATGGTAACCGATAGAGTTCAGAATAGGCCTAGTACTGGAACTTGGGTCGTTCGGGATAAAACTTTTGAGCGGGTCAGCAACTTTAGGTATTTAGGATCGATCATAAACCAGACGAACGAAATTAACGAAGAACTTAAGAAAAGAATCAATCTAGGCAATTCATGTTTTTATTCGGTTAACAAATTACTTAGCTCGCGGTTGCTGTCTGGGTGATTAAAAATCAGGATATACAGGACAATCATCCTGCCGGTAGTTCTTTATGGTAGCGAATCGTGGTCGCTTACGTTACGGGACGAAAAGAAATTTAGGGTTTTCGAAAACAAAGTTCTTCGTAAAATCTTCGGTGCAAAACGCGATGAGGAAACGGACGAATGGAGAAAACTCTATAACGTTGAAGTACATCGATTGTACAACAAACCGGACATTATCAACGTCGTAAAATCACGCCGATTAAGATGGGCTGGTCACGTGGCGCGCATGGGGGAGGATCGAACGGCGCACAAAATATTGGTCGGTATACCAAACGGGAAAAGACCACTAGGTAGACCGAGACGTAGATGGGAGGATAATATTAGAAGAGACCTGAAAGAAATAGGATACGAAGATCGCGAATGGAAGGATAGCGCTCAGAGACGGAACAATGGCGGGATTTGGTATTTGCGGCAATGAACTTTCGAGTTTCTAATGCCATTAATAATAATAATAATTAATAAATAATCTTTATTCAAGTTCTTAATATTAATATATGTACTAGTATTATATCGAATTTTTTTCATGTTTCATAGCCCTACGTTATATATCGGACAACATGAATATGGATTTTATGCTTTACCATCTTTAATTGATTCAGCAACTGCAACTATATCAAGTAATGCAGGATATTTGTTGTTAGAAGGGCCATTAACAGTTGCACAGATTCATAAAAATGATAATAGAATTCCTTTACCTGGGGATCATATAGTTGTTGGAAATATCAATATTGCTAACGATGAGTATCAAAGTATAACATCGGAAAGTAATATTATCACATTAGGTAATATGATTAATTATATGATATTAATTATAGTGAATTTATGTGAATAATTCCATTATTGTGTTTTGAAATTTTCCTAAACTTAACAGGTTATTATGAAATACCAGCAGAATATAATTCTGAGCATCAACCGCTTCAAATCACTGGAAGTTCTGAAGTATCTTTATCAGAAACATCATCCTTGAATTTAACAACACATTTACCAATTATATTATCTAATAATACACCAATAGCTGATGATGGAATGCAAGAGGGAAATTGGCATAAAATTTTAGCCGAAAGCTATAGAGCAAGCAAAAAGTGGCTTAATCAACAAGAGAACAAAGGATTAAAATTAGTACTTATTATACTTGTTGGATGTATAGTTGCAATGTTTTGGTATTTCAATGCACAATTTAAAGAATTTCAACAGCTGTCACAGGTGTGTGATATTACATGAAATATTGGTTATTATATATTATTTTTGGAAAATTATATGATTGAATTTATCCATATTTTTGTTTTAACATAAATGATTTATTTTCAGGGTTCACGAGAAAATAGTCGCACAAACAGCAATACTAAACGTAGTAATATTGTTATTCCTGAAGATATGGGAGAAGGTCTAGTAAGAGTAGGGAAGATTACTTTTAATACCAGTGAAGTGTTAGGTAAAGGATGCGAGGGAACATTTGTATATAAGTAAGTAAAGAATTATACTTTTCATTCTTCTATCTCTTTATGAGAATTCTTGTTATATGTAATCATATTATAATTGTATCAGAGGTGAATTTGATGGCCGATCAGTAGCAGTTAAGCGATTATTACCGGATTGTTTCACATTAGCTGATCGTGAAGTAACACTTCTTAGAGAATCAGATGAACATCCTAACGTTGTACGATATTTTTGCACAGAACATGATAGAATGTTTAGATATATCGCTCTAGAATTAGCAGAAGCTACTTTACAAGATTACGTAGTAGGAGAATATGACAGAGAAAAAATATCAGAGAAAGATATATTACGACAGGCTACATCAGGACTTGAACATTTACATCTTTTAGATATTGGTAATTCTTTATTTGATGCTTAATCAAATCTTTATAACGTTTAGCCATTACTTATTATATATTTACAGTTCATAGAGATATAAAACCACATAATGTCCTTCTATCGGTTCCTGGACCACGGGGAGAAGTCAGAGCAATGATATCAGATTTTGGTCTTTGCAAGAAGCTACAAGTTGGTCGCGTATCATTCTCGCGACGTTCTGGTGTAACTGGAACAGATGGTTGGATAGCACCAGAGATGTTAAATGGAGAAAGAACGACGTGTGCCGTTGATATTTTTTCTCTTGGTTGTGTTTTCTATTATGTTCTCTCTGATGGAAAACATCCATTTGGTGATTCTTTAAGAAGACAAGCTAACATACTTTGTAATATTTTAATAATTCTAAATATCTATATACGATCTAATTCAATGCTTATATATCTTATATATGTATATATATATATATATATATATATATATGTATTATAGGCGGAGAAAGTGACTTGACAGCATTACATGGAATATCTAAAAGTGATAAAGAATTAGCATTGAATCTTATAAAAGCAATGATTTCTGAAGATCCATCAGAACGACCACCTGCTGCAGTAGTCTATAATCATCCATTATTTTGGAATCCTACTCAAATACTTAATTTTTTTCAAGTATGACAAATTATTGTTATAATAAGAATAATACACCTACATAATAGAAGTATAATATATTCCTATGTACGTTTTTTGTATAATTTAGGATGTTAGTGATCGTGTTGAGAAAGAACAATTTGATAGTCCAGCATTATTAGCTCTTGAACATGGTAATCAACGAGTTGTCAAAGGAGATTGGAGAATGCACATTGACAATGAAGTTGCGGCGGATCTTCGAAAGTATAGAACTTATGATGGTGGTAATGTAAGAGATTTATTAAGGGCATTACGAAATAAGGTACATCAAAGTTACTAATAATATCTAATAAATACATAATAACTTACAAAGTCTAATAACAAAAATATAATATAATCTTGTGATTGATATTTACAGAAGCATCATTATAGAGAATTAATGCCAGCTGCACAAAAAAGTTTAGGTGAAATTCCCGAAAAATTTACAGAATATTGGCTTAGTAGATTTCCATGTTTGTTATGTCACATTTGGATTCAAATGCAAAAATTCCGCAATGAGCCAACTTTAAAGCGTTATTATCATGTACAATATAATTTTGTTCATTTTAACGAGATAGAGGAGTATGAAACACAAGAAAAAGAAGTGATTTCTTTATCGCAAGAAAATGAAGTGATTTGTTCATCACCACAAAAAGTACGAAAAGGGACTATTGATTGGAATGCAAATCATCGAGGCAGACATCGAGGAAACAGAAGAAAGCAAGAAAAAAAGAAAGTGATCGAACCATCGACGTTGGTATTACCATCATCTTAGGTAATTTTATTATTTATTAGAAATATTTATGTATGAGAGACTGATTATGATACGAAAGATTAATAACAATTATACAAATTTGCTTAATTGTTTACAATGATTTAATTATATAATAATAATCATGAGAAAAAGAAAATATTTACATCTTAATAAAATATGTAAGAAAATAATTAATCATTATTATTTATTTAGTTATTTAATAAATAATTTATATCGATAAGTTATTTTGTTAAATAATAAATAATAATAATACTAATTTTTCTTACAATTGGATTACTGATATTCTGTTATTAAACAGATTTTAACGATTTCCTAAGTATCAAGGAAATGTTCGAAAAAATAATTGATCTCATAAAACATCTTAATGTACGTTCAGATAATTAACAAGAATGAAATCCTTTTGTTAGATAAAAGTAAACCAAAATTGAACTTATAAACGTTTGAAAATAACACTTCCGTATAATATCATGATTATCTTAATCAGTTTCAATCTACATATAAAATATGTGCGCATACACAGATAAATATAAATTAACTTGTGCAATTTGATATGATTGAACAAGAGACATAGAAAAATAAGTAATTCTTTTTACAAATTCAATTTTTTTGTACAGTCATACAATGTATAATTTATATATTACTATTGAGAAAATAATATGTACATATTAGTGAAGGAAAAAAATAATAAGAATGTTGTATTGTTGAACAATTGGCAGCATAAATTTACTATTAACTATTTATTACCGTGTAACTGTTGTTTACGTTGATAATAGATTGCAGCAAAATTATTATATTATTTATGCTAGAATATACTTCAATTTTTCATAATCATAACATTATACAATATTCAAATGAAATTTGTACATTTTTAATGATCATAATATGATCATTAAAATGCCTTCGTATTTCTGTGATTTTTCATACTAAATGATTTTACAAAATAACCATAAATGTAAAAAAGATATTGATTGATGAAACCATGACTAAAATAATTATTAATAATTTATAGAAGTAGAAAAATTAAATTGAGCAACTTGAATATACATACTGCAGACAAATAAATGAAAAAAAATTTTCTATTAAGAATTAAGTAAAATATTGAATAAAAAATGGAAGAAAGAGAGTGGGTGTTTTTTTGTTTTAGTAAAATATAATTATTATAGCGTTTAACAAGTTTAATATATATATATTTTTTCAAAAGATGATAAAAAAATATTTCATAAATATAAACAAATTTATAAACATTTAGTAGACCACTAGCATTATTTCTGTGAATTATCACTTGAGAAATATTTAATCTATACAACATTTAACAAATGAAAATAATTAAATAATGAATCTGTATGTTAATATAATCTTTTTTTATAAATGAAGTAAAACAATAGTACAAACGAAATGCTATGAAATGCCATAATGGAAGGTTTACACTGTGAATAAATTTGATATAATATAGTAATTATAGGAGTACTTAATAAAAATAATATTAAGATAAAAGGCACTTGCTACACATAACTTAGAATGGAATACAATATCCTTTAAAATAATGGTGCATAGACTATGAGTTATAATTCTTCAGAGTTGCAGTAAAGTAATGAAATTATAAAGTAATAATTATTGTTCATTTTCACGTAAATTATATGTTTCAACTATGTACACAATGTAAATATATAATAATAAAATGTAAAAACAGTATAGTGATAGAAATAAAATTTCTAATAATTTCTATTATTGCGACAATAACTTAATCACTTTTGTTAAATCGATCAATTTTGAATAATGACACTTTTATTATTTATCAATCAATGAATCTCTAAGGAGTCACATTTTAATATTCTAATTACTTCTTTAGAATTTTGTTTTTCAAGCAGTAAACGTGGTGTTACATTCTGTAAATTACGAATATTTGTATTAGCACCACTTCGTATTAGCAATTCAACAATTCTTATATTGGCATTTCTAATTGCTAAATGAAGAGGAGTATCTCCGTTGAAATCTTTGGCATTTATATTGCATACTCCACAATCTAAAATTATTTTGACCGCTTGTATTTTATTAGCTGAACAAGCTAAATGTAATGGAGTGTGACCCTCAAATTTTGTTGTTACATTAACGTCTGCTCCTGCATCTAGAAGTAATTGAATTATTTCTAAAGATCCAACAATAGACGCTATATGCAAAACCGTTTTGCCATTATCATTGTAAGAATTAAAAACTGCTGCTGGTATTTTATTCTTTTTCTCTGAATATTCATGCATTGGAGCACATCGTTCACAGTAACATAATGGATGACAAAGATCTGATCTTACTGTCATTTGTTCATTTTGGTTACTCCATCCAAGGTAATAATTTGTTAAGTGTATATCGCCTTCGCTAATTGCAGAAAATAATTTGTTGATTTGTACTGTAATATTTATGTCAGATGAACATTTAGACTTTATTTTATTTTCAGTTTTTAAAGATAATTGTAAAATTGGTGATGAATGATGAACTTTTATGGTAGAAGGAACTAGAACATTTGGTGCAATACGTTGCAATAGTATTTTAACTCGTTCACCTTGTGCAACATCGAAAGATGTTTGGCCCCATTTATTTTTGATTTTGCAATCTGCTCCGTATTCTAAAAGAACTTCTATGATACCTAAATATCCCCACTTAGATGCACGATGTAGTGGTGTATCACCATCAGTATTAGGAGAATTAACATTAAGATATAAATTTGTATGTTCTGCAAAGTAAAGCAAAGCTTTCACACAACCTTCATGTCCACGATCAGAAGCTAGATGTAATGCTGTATTTTCATAATTATCTACTATTATAGGGTTTGCATTTGCATGTAAAAGTAGTAATACTATATTTTGGTGACCTTTCATTAATGCACAGTGAAGAGGCGTGAGTGAATCATTATCAGTTATGTTAGTGTCAGCTCCATGATTTAAAAGATAATCGACAATATTAACTTTTCCATGAAAGCTGGCTATATGTAGGGCAGTTGAACCGTGTTCGTTTTTTGAGGATACTGTTGGTCGATTTAAAAGACGATTTTTAGCTAAAGATACTTCACAAGATTCACAAGTACACAATGGGTGACATAATGGAACGTGATTATACAAGTTGATGATGTCGGATGATAATAAGTTTTCTACTTCTGATAAATCACCTTTCGTTATGCATGTAAATAAATAATCCAAAGATGTGCGCTGTTCATTTTCATTTTGTAGTTTTTGTTCCGAGTCAGAGACCTGACTAATTCTATTTTTTTCCATTAATGCACCAGATTTGATATACTCCACTGCTGCTTCTAAAGATGTTGTTAGATAGGCAAGTTCATCCGACTCATTAATACTACACGCTGAGAAACGAAAATGCTTTATAAAAGTTATTTGTGCTATCCAATTTGATAAACTAGTTTTGATGACAAGGTATACTAGTATAGGTAATAAATCATCCGATGAAATAGAAGATACTCCTTGAGATATATAACGAATACTTCTCCTGAGGCATTCAAGTTTTTCTAAGACAGTCATATAACAAACTATATGCGATAACTCTAATTTTCCTCTGTGAATATTGGTACGTAGATTTAAATGTATTCCTAAATCATCAAATTTTAAGTCGGTTAAATTCCTTATTATTTTATTTAAATTAGCATCATCATCAGCCATATAAATGGATATTGATTTTTGAAGAGTTTTTCTCAATGCATGTAATATATATGTTTCAACTGCAATTTTTATATTTTGAATGAGATATGTGGAAGTATTACTTGTATCATTAAATTTATCCTGCAGTATCATTTCAATGCAATTCGAGTATAATTGAAAGACAGAATCCTTCAATGTTTCTAACGATGTATCTTCGATGTTTGAATATATTTGCTGAAATTCTTTTATATTTAATTCTAAACTATTGCAGATTTTTTCATTAATTTCAGACCAAAGTAAATTTATGGCATCTTGTAGATTCATTATTGTAGTCAAATGATTATGCGACGATAGCGATTCACAATTAATAGGACCTTCTATGCACCTGCAATATATACGTAAATGCAAATTTACTATTAAACATCATAGTATAATAATTGGATGAAAATGTAATTGTATTTACCATATTCGATACTTCCATGAACCTTCATTATAAAATGTTTCTTCAAAAAGTAAACGTACAGAATATGAATCAGATGTTTCATAATTTACAGTTAATATTCTATTAAGGAGCTTGACATTCTTATTGTTTAAAGAACGAAATGAAGTTTCTGACATTTCATAATTCGGTATCAAAATATGTTCCTCTACATCTTCTTTGTATAAAATATCTTTTGTAAAAGTACCACGACGAGGTACGCAGACAATCCAACCTTCGTGTGCAGCTAATCGTAAAGTTGGTTCGTAATAATTTCTAAGTTTTTCTAGAAATGGATTTTGAGATACATCCTCGTCGTAATTTATTTCCATGTTTGAATACTATATTTATAAACATACCGTACAATGTACAGTATCACTGCAAAGATAGAACAACAAGTAGTTTTTTAGAATAAGCAACATATAATAAATTGAAATAAAGAAAAGACAAAATATTCATACCTCTATTCAAATGATAACTTTCACAGAATTAACTATTAATTCACATTTTATTATAATTACTATAGTACCATCATTGATTGGTTTAATAAATGTAATTATCCAAGTGTAAACATTATATGCGCAGTATATGTGTACATATATTTCTATTTATTAGAAAAGAACAGAAAATATATAACACAATACTACATTGTCTTATTTTATGCCGATTTAAAAATAACATTTGTTGCATAATCACTCCATCTCGATAAGGTGAAATGAATCAACAAGTCCATATTTTTCCAGTACCTGTCATTCCTTTTTCATCACTATAACTCAAAGTGAATATAATTAGTTAATTAATTATATTGTCTCCATTACGAATAAACAAAAAATAATAAAATTTATGATAAAAGATAAACAAATATCAATATTGAAGTATATTCCAATTAATTGAAATTTATATAAGTCTTTATCATTCAATAATTTAAAGTGATGAAAATATTGTAATTTTTTATAATTAAAACTCGATACAAAATAATTATCTTATATAATTTTCAATAATAATTATTTGAATTACCACGATTTCAATTGTAAAAGAAATGAAAATCTTCGACCAATCTTTAGACAGATATAGAAAGATTTCCGTCGATTATAGCATTCGTGTTTAAAACGAGTAAAACAAGTGAGCATTTGTATTGAGCGTATTTTTCTTAAAGTGCATTGAGAATTGTCCTTTAAAAAATTTGTCATTCCGATTGAATATATTGTTAATAAAATATGTAAGTATATTGTAAAATGCAAGTATTGTAATTAAGAAAAAAAAGATAGAAAAAAAGAAAAAGATAGAAGAAAAAATATATGTAAATATTTTCTGGAAAATTCGATGATTCGTTGTCGAATATAAGTTTTCGACCAATACGAAGACGTTGTTTTTGAAGCACGTTTCTTACGCGCTAAGCAACAGCGAAGCGAAAAGTAGGAGGTTAGTTGGATGAAAAGTGTGGTGGGGGAAGAGCGAGGGAAGAAGATAAGCGCAAACGATAGAACGGGACATAACGTTTCGTACAGCGATTGCGCCGTATACCTAGGTTCGCGGTCGTGCAAAAGTCCACATGAGGCTGTTGCCAGTTATTGATCCTGGCACGCTTAAACAACACTGCATTGCTGTCAACTAGGAAAACAATTTCCGTCGACGCAGCGCGTTCGTAAAATATCATATATCCGCGTAAACGGGTTGAGCACGATTCGCGAACGTGCCTATATTCACGTCGTGTACGTTCCGTCGACCGAGACTTTCTACCGATATTCTTGACCAACATTCTTATGAGAATCGAAAACACACGTTAATCATTATATATCAAAATGTAAAAAAGATTACCTTTTTCTATTTCTCTCGCGATAATTCCTCAGGTGAAACAGCGAAAGAAAGAGAAGGAGGGAAATAAAAATAGATAGATAGATAGATAATATAGATAAATAAACATATAGATAGATAGATAGATAGATAAATAGATAGATAAATAGATAGATAGATAGATAGATAGATAGGCAGAGAGAGAGTGAGAGGAGGGAGAGGAGAGTGGGAACGAGGAAAAAGTATACAGAACGATAGACAAAGAGAAAGAGAGGAAGTGTGAGAAAGAAAGAGAGTGGAGGGAGAGGGGGAAGGAGGGAGAAGGAGCGAGAAAGACAAGTAGACGAAGATAGGAGAGAGAGAAAGAGAAGTCGAGCAACGTCGTAAGAGAAAAGATCTGTCATCGGGATATTATTCGGTCCTCTCTCTTTCTCTCTCTCTCTCACTCCGCGTGCGTAATGACAAAATAGAGAAAGGAGGAGGAGAAGGAGGAGAGAAGGAGAAAAGAAAACATCGTTTTCCTTACTACCGTGCGAATCCTTTTTCGTTTTTATTTTTGGTTGTTGTTGTTGTTCTCGGGATAAATTGCCATTAAATTTCGGTAAAGAGTTGGTCATCGTCGTTGTCGCGTTGTCGTAACGCGAAAAGAAAGACAACGCGTTGTCCGCACGTCGGCCGCACATGTGATCGTCCAAGGTGTCACCATCAGCTCGAGATGAAGAAGTTCACGATCAAAGGGGTGCTCGACGGTTTCCGTTCGTCGATGCCTCAGCCAACTAAGTCTGACCAGGAGATCGTTGAAAATCTCAGATCCGAGCACATTCAAGTTAAAAAGGTATTTTCATATTATATCCTACTATATAACCTAGTTTTCTATAACAATCTGCGTAGTAGTAAAAGTAATTGACGTTTCTTGTCGCGCCTTCTTTTCCCTTTTTTTTTTTCCATGCGATATTTAATTCGTTTATTGCCTTGATTTGATTGATTAAATAGATCGTTACTCCTATGCATAAGTGTTTACAATACCGCGTGATGATGTGGGCATTCTCTATAATAATCGGCATCGAGCGTGATTGTGTTTCAAATTCAATAATTATCTTTATTTCTTTGACAGCTGTTATACTGACATTAATACGTTTATGCTTGGTTTTACTTTTCAAATGAGAATTATTCTTTTACATTATTTTTGTTCATATTATTGTTGATTTTTAATAATAATTAGTAGCATTTATTTATCGCTCGATGTGTTAAAGTTTTTAAATTAAATTTGTAAGTTATTTCTAAATATTTGAAAAGTAAGAAAATGTATTCATTTCCCTTCCATAATTATAATTTTCAACTTTAAAAGAGAAAGTCTTTGATATTCCTTTCCACACGAAGTGGCAGCATCATTCTTTGCAATCTTCTATATTATTATATTTTAAAGAACTTAGCATCAGCTAATTTATTCTTTCTACGAAAGTGTACTTTGTATTTCTCACGGTTAATGTTTCTAGTTAATCTAGATTTGTAATTACAATTGTACATTCCACATAGCCACAGTGCTTTCTTGTATACCTTAAATTTATTGAAAATTTAATTAGATGTTTCAATCTAATTTTTGACTCTGTAAATTCTGAGCGTTAATGAAAAGCAGCAGAATGTGTGATACGTCTACATAGGCAAAGTTTTACCATTTATAAATTATTTGGAAAATACTTGTTACAAAATCAATAGAGTATTATTTAAATACGTATTAACATACTTATAGATGACTTTGTAAAACAGCATAATTAATACACATGGTATACAATTTTTATTTATATATAGATGCACTTCTATTAATAGTCTATATTAGGAGAGATGCCTTTACCAACTATTACAGTTTGCATATACCGATAACAACCACAGATGAAAATGTCATTTGAGGTATGAATATTGATTTTGCACAACCATTCTAGTTCCAAACAAACATTCATATCGCTTTGTTCTTTGCTAATATATATATATAAAATGAGAAACCAGTTTAATTTCTAAATAGCTTTAATGGATTTAACGTTTAATTAAAACAAAATTTAAGTTAATTGTAAGCTTTTTTGGAATAGTATTATTTAGATACAAATTTTGATAATAAAATTTAAATTTAGTATACAAAGTTTGAATTTGAAACTTTTCTTGTGTTATAATAAAAATTGTCAATGGAAAAAAACAAATATTGCAGTTATATTATATTTATATTTCATAGAAAATTCTTAACTGGTAATAAATGCGAAACAGATGGTGATGTAAAATTTATTGGCAGTATGTTTGTTAGAAAGAGAGTAAATGATGACGAGAGATCGGTAACAGTGACCACAGGCACGATAACATTGATCAATATAGAGGCCAGAGATGTCTGCTTTTGTCTGTTAGGATTAAACATTTCTTTCGATATTTACCTCCAACAATATCGATAAATTCATCAATTTCAAATCAGTCGGTCGGTACTTTCAATTTCACATCAAGTTATGAGAAATGTATTTTGTTATATCTTGAAAATAAGTTAAAAAAAATGCTTCGACTATTTTTTATTGGTCTGTACAGTTTGTTTACGTTAAAAGAAAAGAAAAGAAAAAAAAGAACGGCTTTGTTTTGTATTGGAATAGAGCGTATAGGTGGATTAGATTCGGGACGATGCACTCGGTATGCATTTAGGATGAGGGCACGCGCTCTGATCGTTTCAACTTGTTAGGATAATAATATTTCGACCGTGTGGTCGTTTCGTGTTACGAATCATTTTAAAATCGACACTTTTGACAATGATTGATCTCAATTTGAACGTGCTTTTTTCACGCATCTATTCGAATTTTTCACTTTTCGTCTATTTTATTTTGCAAGCATGGATTTACAATACGCGTGGCAGTGCCAATGCGGTAAACTGGAAGCTACGGTATAATGTATGTAGGTATGCGGTCGATAAGACATCTTGCAAAATCATTCTACGTGAAAAAGGAAAAAAATAACATAAGGAAAAAAACCCAACGGAATCGGCGTGTAATTTTCTAGATCAGTGATTCTCAACCTTTTTTGCTCCATTTCTTCTCCCTTTCATCATAGTTTAGAGTATCATTTTCTTCTCTTTCTCGAGATAGTTTAACAGTCATTTTTATTTAGTTTTTTTTATCTTTATAATAACATTTTTCGAATGACTTCTTTCCGGTTTTTAAATAATCATTTCATTTCGCCGATAGAAAGTAATTCAAGCATATTCAAAAATTAATTTAACAGATTGTACATAATCTATAAACCACATATATAACTTTATTGAATAGCGTTTACAATTTCTCCCCTGAAATTCTAAAATTCTCCCCAAGAGAGAAATTTTCCACTTGTTGAGAATCTCTGTTTTAAACACCATAGTCAATGATAGAATAAACGATCGTTCGTCTAGATTTAGTGGCATTTATGTGAGAATTTTTCTTTCTTCCTAACGGAAATGCATTAGTTTCGCTTCGTTCTCTGTATAGGTAGTCTTTGATTTACGCATTTTTGTCGGAGTACGAAAAACGTAGTTTTTTGAGAGAGGAGATATCGTAAAAACGTTATCTTCAATTTTACCGCGTAATCATTAGAATACGAACCACCATGAATGATTACCGAAACGTAACTCGACAAATTTTCTTCCAAAGATTCGCGATAACTTTTTGAAAATGTAATTATTGTAATAACTCAACTTCTTCAATTTAAATAATCCGCATTTATAACCCTTATCGTATATATTTCGTATTAGCATTTCAATTTGGCTCAAGTTAAGCGGTATCAGTTTTTCTTCTTCTTTTGGGCGATAATTTTCAACAATCTTATCATAACACGTATTATCACTTGACCGGGATGCTAGTTCATCGGTATTAATTAATTTCTCTTTTATTACGCGTATTACAGCGACACATGGAATGAAAGTTTCTCATGGCTTGTATATCTTTTTCTTCTTCTTCTTCTTCTTCTTAATATATATAAATTATGTGTCACGTTGTTTGTCCGCAATGGACTCCTAAATTACTGAACCGATTTTAATAAAATTTTGCACACTGTGTGCAGTTTCATCTAACTTGAAAGATAGGATAGTTTATATCTCAATTTATAATCGCAATATTATTTTATTGCGAATTATTTGTTTATTAACAAAGA